CTCGTCCACATCCTCCTCCTCCTCTCCATATCCCCATCTTCTGTCATACGCACCCCTGTCCCCCGTCCCAAATAAAATAAAATTAAATTAAAATAAAAATAAAAATAAAAAACCTGCACGATTCCGCTCAGGCACCCCCCGCACGGAACTCCGCACGAATGTGCTGCTCGTGCAGTTGCAAGTATGAAATAAACACATACTATTTAAAGGAGGAGGGACCAAGAGGGTTCCGCTGCGCACCAAGCTTTGCCGGAATGTGAGTGTGGAATTTTTTGTTTTCTTTTGGCATGTGCCGCCATCTGCTGTGATTCAGTTGCACGAGTGTTCGATGTTTGTGCACAGACCTGATCGCATATGTCAACGTAGTACAGCCCATCCTATCATATGTCGGAAGCACAATGCCATGCAACAGGTACAATATTTAGTGGGAGTGACCTCTGAAACGGTTTTCACCTTTAGCAGTAGCGAATGAAGATCCCAGGGCTTGATCCCTAGTTCTCACCTTACCTGTGTACAGTATCTGTGACGACCCCGAGTGTTTGAACCTGTGACCTGTGTTTTGACATTTGTTGTTGTCTGTCGTAGGTCTGTGTAGTGGTAGGGGTTCGATCTGGGGTTCAATCTGTAGGTCTGTCGAGTAGAAGTCACAGCCCTGTAGAGGTCGTAGCTGTAGGGATCCTGAAAGGTCAAGGTCGTAGCTGCTACAGTCCTGAGAGGTCAAGGTCGTAGCTGCTACAGTACCCGAAAGGCCAAGTCTACAGACTTCCAGAAGGTCCCGGAAGTGGCCTTTCGGAGTGGGCTCACGTTTAGGCAGAGGCAAGTGGGCAAGTGGTGGAGCCAACCTCAGTACGTTGGCAGTGCGACTGCAGTGAGTCTGCGGTGCAAACCCATGCAGTCAGCGGTACTGGTCCAGTCAGTCCCAGTCCAGTCCAGCAAGTATCATGAGGGACTGTGTGCACCATGGGCCGATGGAAAAGGGCAGACCAACGAGTTACAGAAGTATAAATCAAGAGGCAGCGCCCAGCCGTTCATCATTTCCTGTGTAAGCCATGCGGAAGCGCTGCCATAGCGACTTGTGCGAGGTGGTCTGCAGTGAGCCCGTGGACGAAGTGGGCAAGAAGGAAGTTAGCCATAGCGATAGAGTAGCAGCGGCCATAGCTGCCATAGCTGTAGGTGTGTGCGGGTGTGTGCGAGTGTACAGAGTGTTGCGTGTGGGATATATCCAGGGTGGTCCTGTGTGCGAACAGCAGTGTTGAGTAAGTGAAGAACAGAGAGTTCTACAGGCCGTGTGCCGCCATAGCCGTTTGAAGTGAACGTGTATCTGAGCTGCACTCTTGGTACTATATCTCTGAGTTCTGAGTGGGTGCTTGATGCCAGTTTGCTGCGCAACCTGTTTGCATACATGTGGAGTGTGAATGAAAGCGAGTCTGATGGCACCTTCACTTGTTTATATATTAAGGCACCAATAAATGTCAGACAAAGTTCATGAGCATTGTTCGCCAAGCTCTGATGTAAGCGTGACATTTTTTATTTGGTTTTGGCCCGTGGCCGCAAAAGTTTTCGTACAGTTGCACAGGTCTGCGTTTATATTTAGACAGGCTCAGTTCAATTTGGCAACACTGTTCGGACGATGGACCTCGGTTCACTACTGCTCACATCCAGAAAAACAGGAAATATGACAGCATATCTTTCCAAGTTATAGCGGAAGATCCATTATCATTTTACACATTTCTAAAGCAGTGGAGCGAGGTCCCATGGCAACGTTATATTATTTATTTACGTCCTTTACGCAACACAATGCTCTGGTGGCCGCCAATGCCCCAATATACATTTCAATATGACGTGTTGTTTTGTACTCTTGTACAGGATCCGATTGCCTACTCATGACACACTTTATGTTCATGATATATTTGCTGAAAAATAAACCTCCCCGTCAACATCTTCTTAGTGAATAAACGCTTGGCGGTCCTACATATTTGATATGTGTCTACCGGTTATCGACCCCCGTAATTTATGTAAATTGTCCCAACATTGACAACCTTCCAATGGAATGAGCTTCCGCTATCCGCCTACTCCACATCTATTATATATATCGCTATCAAGTATACAACTGTCGCATACAAACGGCTTAAGACCATTCCGCACTTGATAAATTTTAATACGTTCCTTCCGACGGCATCCTCCTTTGTGTTGCTGCACAGATGGATAAAGTGGACATCATCCAAGTTTTCGCACTTGTACAGTTCAGCAAATGGTGGCTGCTTTTCTTGCTTGCTTCTAGTCATACTGCAACAAGTCGTTGCAATCCTGGACTGCCACCCATACCATTGAGCTGGAATCCTGGATGGCCACCTATACCATGGAGGTTTCTACCGGAAGAAGGCATATATCAAGGAGTCTCTCAAGCGCTAAGGAGCAAGCCGAGGGCCTATATGTCGCACTTGATCCGTACGAAGACGACGTTTTGCTGCACTTGGGAGGCAGAGGTCATATTATAGACTCAAGCGAAGCAAGTGATCGGTATCTAGCCGAGATACTATCTAGAGCTCGCGAGCATCGAGAACAGCGGGATGACTTAGATAATCATTGTGCAGATCATAATAAGTGTTCCACGCCATAGCTGTGCTAACAAAGGGTCCGCCTTTTTAAATTTGTGAAATTGTCATCGTAGTTATTATGTAGAATATAGACATCCACATCATATCGATGAGTGCTTCGTGAGCGTTTTTCCGTGTCTCTGATAGTTTTTAAAACATAACATCGGGATACTGTTCTTCAACATGAAATTTTAAGTTGGTCGGTTATATAAGGTGCCACAAAGTAATAGTCTCCTCGTAGCAAACCACTTGTCGTTGTGTTGTGGC